GTAGTGTTTGTTGGAAATTTTACTCAGTGTATTAAGGTGAGAAAAGGAAATAAAAGACACACAGATTGTAAAGGAAGGGGTCAAACTGTCCCTATTTATAAATGATATGATTAGTATGAAATTCCAAGAAATGTAGCCCCCCCCAAATTCTAATAAGTGAATTCTGCAGTGTTTCAAGATATGAGATAAATATACAAAAATCATTTTCTCTATTTAAAAATAGTATATGCTAGCAGAACATGTAGACACTGAAATTAAACATAGATTACCATTTACAATCACACATAAATACTCAGGTGTACATTTTTTAAAATTTTTGTATTGGTTTTGGGTGTACAGCTTGGTGGTTAGATGATCATATACTTTACATGGTATTCCCCTTGATATTTTCAGTACCCCAGCTGGCACTGTACATAGCTACCAGAATATTATTGACTATGTTTCCCATTCTTTACTTGCTTCCTCTTGACTATTTTGTAACTACCATTTTGTGCTTCTTAGTCCCTTCACCTACCCAATGCCTCAAACCCCCTTCCCTTCTGACAACCACCAGTTCTCTCTCTGTATCCATGAGTCTGTTTCAATTTTGTTTGTTTATTTTGTTCTTCAGATTCCACATATAAGTGAAACTGTATGGTATCTGTCTTTCTCTGACTGACTTATTTCATTGAGCATAATACCCCCTAGACCTATCCATGCTGTTGCAAATACTAAGATTTTATTCTTTTTTATGGCTGAGTGATATTCCATTGTATATATGTACCACAACTTTTTTATTCACTTGTGTATTGATGGGCACTTGAGTTGCTTCCATAGTTGGCTATTGTAAATAATGCTGCAGTGGACGTAGGGATGCATATATTTTTTCAAATTAATGTTTTGGGTTTCTTCAGATGTATTCCCAGAAGTGAAATTGCTGAGTCATAAGACAGTTCCATGTTTAATTTTTTGAGGAGCCTCCATAATGTTTTCCATAGTGGCTGCACTAATCTGCATTCCCACCAACAGTGCATGAAGGTTCCCTTTTCTTCACATCCTCACCAACACTTGCTGTTTGTTGATTTATTGATGATGGCCATTCTGACAGTTGTGAGATGATATCTCATTGTGGTTTTAATTTGCATTTCTCTCACAATTAGTGACATTGAGCATCTTTTTATTTGTCTATCGGTCTTCTCTATATCCTCTTTTGAGATATGTGTATTCAGGTCCTCTGCCAATTAGATTTTTTTATTTTATTTGGTGTTTAGTAGTATGAGTTCTTAATAAATTTTGGATATTAACCCTTTACCAGATGTATCATTGGCAAATATGTTCTCCCATTTAATAAGTTGTCTCTTCATTTTTTTTATGGTGTCCTTTGCTGTGCAAGAAGTTTTTAGTTTGATGTTTAACAAAACTTGTATAGGATTTATATGCAGAAAGCTATACAATACTAACTAATGCAGTCAGAGAAAATCTAAATAAATGTAATGATGTCATGTTCATTGATTGTAAGATTCAATATAGTAAAGATGTCATGCTTCTCCAAATTGATATACTTATTTAACACAATTCCTGTTAGAATCCTTGCAAGATGTTTTTGTAAATAAAAGCAAGTTTATTCTAAAATTCATGTGGAAAGGCAAAGAACCTCAATAAATAAAAATTATTTATTAAAATAATAGAATAGGAGTAATCATTGTACCTGATTTTAGGGCTTACTTTAAAGCTACAGTTATTAAAACAGTATGGTATAGCTAGAGGGAAAAATTTAGATCAAAGGAACCCAGATATAGACCCATACAGATATACCTAGTTGATATTTTGCAAAGCAATTTAATAGAGAAAATTTAGTCTTTTCAGCAAATGATTTTGGAGCAATTGGAAGTTCATAGGCAAAAAAAATAAATTAACCTTGACCTAAATCTCATGCCTTATCCAAGAATGAACTCAAAATGAATCATGAGTGTAAATTTAGAACAACACTTTTTGAACTGTAAGCAAAAAATCATAGAAGCAAATCTTTAGGATCTTGGGCTAGGCAATGATAAAAAAGATAACGTTGATCAGTTAGACTTCATCAAAACTTTTTAAGCAACAGGAAGGGAGAAAATACTTGCCAAGCACATATCTAACAAAGGACTAGTATCTAAAATGTATAAAGAACTCCCCAACTGCATATTTTTAAAAAAGACAATCTGGTTCGAAAATGGGTAAGAGATATTCTATTGAAGATGATTTATACATGGCAAATAAGCATATGAAAATACTCTTATCATCCATTGATTAGCCATTAGAAATAATGCAAAGTAAAACCAAAATGTGGTATCATTACACACCTATCAGAATGGCTAAAATAAAAATAGTGATGATACCAAACTACTGGTATGGCTGCAGAGATACTGGATCACTCATACATTGTTGATGGGTTGTAAATAACAGTCACTCTGTTAAACAATTTGGCAGCTTCCATAAAAACTAAATATTCAGATATCATGCAGCCCAGCAGTTGCATTCCTAAGCATTTATCACAAAGAAATGAAAACTCATGTTTACATCTAAACCTGTGCCCAAGACTAGAAACAACACAGATGCCATTCAGTGAGTGAGGGGTAAAAAATGATATATCCATACTATGAAATAGAAGACAATGAATTATATTGTTTTTCATAGCATCCTGGGTCAGTCTCCAAAGAATTATGCTGATTGAAAAAAGTAAATCCCAAAAGGTTTTATTTCATACACACACACACACACACACACACACACACACACACACTGTATTATTTCATTTATGTAACATTCTTGAAATTCCAAAATTATAGAAATAAGGAATGAATAGTGGTTGTCAGGAGTTAAAGAGAGGATGGAGGGGAAGGAAGTGGGTGTGGTTATAAAATGGCAACCCGAGGATGGTGATGGAAATGTTCTGTATCTTGATTGTATCAATGTCAATACCCTGCTTGTGACAGTGTTCTGTAATTTTACAAGATCTTACCATTGGGAGAAATTAGATAACAAGTACAGGGATCTTTCTGTATTATTTATTTCTTACAACTTCATATGAATCTAAACTTATTTTAAAATAAAAAGTTTGATTTAAAAGAATAAAGTGAAAGGTATCTTTGTGAAGTAACTGAGACTGAGGTAGAAATGTATCCTGTAAGTCTTTTGAATAACAAAATAAAATTTGGATTTAATTCTTTAGATAATAAGGAACTGAAAAAAATATTTTTCATTATGTTGTAGCACAAAGTAAATGAATAGAAAATTAGTCACAGTAGATAAATTGTCTTATATATACAATTATGGATTGTGAAAGTATTTTATAAGTATATTATAAAATATCTTAATATTTGGAATTTTAAAAAAAAGAAAACAAAGCCTTAAAAAAAACAGAATTAGTTTGATAATATATTAGTAGTTTAAAAAGCAATTGTATTATTAAATTACCTGAAATAGTCCATTCAGTGAATAGAGGTTAAATTCTAAAACTGATATTATTACTAGAAGTACAACTTAAGCAGGTATTGATAGATATGCTTCTTTTTTAGGTATGGGTTAAAACCTTGGTGTTGTTTGTAAGTACATAGTTTGGATCTCTGATTATGCTTTCCCATTGGAGCAACTTTATAAGTGATGGCTATATTTCTAAGTCATAGATCTACCTGAGAATCTGAAGAAAATTTTGGACCATCTCTTCAAATAAATGAATCATCCACCTAAGTTTTCAAACATTAGAGTTCACATACTGAGACCTGTCTCTGAAATCCAGGTTTAAGAAGCCCTATCAAAAGAAAAGTTGCAGTGTATCTGTGTATCGTTAATTTCACTGTGATACATGGTCAGCCCAAAACAACTACCTAACGAGCATCTATTTGCTTGCACAGTACCCATGGCAGCCACCACATGGGATTCAAAGAGTACTTTTTAAATATCCCATATTGCAAGAGGCTTATGTGATCTAGTTTAAGAACGAAGCTGTGTTCATGAAATGTGACTTATTAGAAGTGTCGGAACAAAAATAGAGTAGTTCCTGCTTTTACATGAAAGCATTACAACTTTTGTAAATTATCTCAAGAAGACATTTTGATAACCAGTATACCATTGCCTCCTTTTAAAAAATATTTTTTTAAATTCTTCAATTATAGTTGACATACAGTATTATATTAGTTTCAGGTGTACAACATAGTGCTAGACATTTATATAACCTACAAAGTGATCACCTTGATACCATTGCCTCTTTTGGAAAAGGGACTAGAAAATGAGAGAGAATTCTATAATAATATTTATAAATAAATATCACGAAGTAACAAAGTGAGATGGAAAAACTGGAGACTATATGGCTTCATTCAAAAATAAATTAGGACTTTATGCTGGACCATGGAAATAATGCTGTGAAAACATAGACACAGTTTCTTCCCTTATGGAGTTTACAGTTTTAAGAGGAATATATTTTTAAAGAATAGCTCACTGTAGGCTGGAGTATGCAAAAGAAAAGATTTATGGTGTAGGTTGCATAAGAGTATACTTGCTGTGCTTAAAAATATTTAACTTTGAACCAGTTTTCTAACCTTTTTGAGTCTTATGGGGCTCATCTGTACAGTGGATATAATGAATTATATAATAAGGTTTTGGGTTCACAGTCTGGCAGTTGGTAGCTACTGCTATTATTACTGGTTTGAATGGCACTGATGAATGACTAGATTAGGATACTCATAAAAGAAGAAGCAGAATATTAGGGGATGGAGCACAATAGTAAGAAAGTAAGATGGACATTCCTTTAAATTTAAGGTAATAGACTTGCCTGTCTAGTATAAAAAATTGTATTGGGAGGTAATAATAGATTGCAAGCAAGTATAATACCATTAAAAGAAAGTGTTACTGTTTCACTATTTTTTTTATTAGCCTCAAGTAGTTTGTTGTTGTTGTTGTTGTTAACATGACAGTTTTTTATGTGGAGCAGTCTTTTATGATATAAAAACTTTGCTTACCAACTTTTGCTCATTACTTTTCAGAGATTGGAAATGCTTATGCTATTTTAAGCAATCCAGAAAAACGAAAACAGTATGACCTCACAGGCAATGAAGAACAAGTGTGTAATCCACACAGCAATGGTAGATTTAATTTCCATAGAGGTTGTGAAGCTGATATAACTCCAGAAGACTTGTTTAATATATTCTTTGGTGGTGGATTTCCTTCAGGTATTTTAATGTTAATTATAAATACTATATTTTATGAAGCTAGAGAGTCTCACCTCCAGATAACCTATTTAGAGATTTATCACCTTCTTCTCTACATTTCTTACAATATTATTATCCTGTGATGGTTTTTCATGAAGGTAAAAAAAAAATGTTAGACTCATTACTTTTACTATAAGTCTGCCTTTTTCCTAGACTATATCTTAATTTGAAAAATAACAAAGAAATGAAGAGTACAGATAGTCTGTATTTTACATAAAGCTGAAGAAAGGATGTGTAAGTAGGAAATCCAGTGGCAGTGTCTTAATTAAGTGCTATTATGGCTATGGATGACAATTTGACGTTGATTCTCTGGAGATCTTTGTAGGTATTTTATTAATATTATAGATTGCTAATTTGGATATATGTGGAGGTGCTTTCCATTGAAATATTAAAATGTCTGATATGTAGGTTATATAAAAAGTAAGTGGGTTTTTAAAATTATATTGAAATAGAAATAATTACTTGAACTAGGCTATCAAAGTAAAATATTATAGAGGTACTACTAAATGAATAGATTTTTATATTACCAGCATAAGTAGTATTAAACTCTGCTTATATTTACTGTGAGTTGTTATATGGAAATTAATTTTCTTTAAGAGCAGCTCCTTTAAGGTGTTTAAACTTAAAGCTCCAGTCCTTTCTTCAACATTTCCTTTAAGGTTCTAAGTTAATTATTCCACTCAGAATTAGAATTTTTATAAACATAGCAATATCATTTGGTCTGATGGCCCTGGCTGAATATTTCTGAGAAAGGTGATGGTCATTGACAGGTCCTTGAAGGAAAGAGAATGTAAATACAAGTTAATGACTAAAAATATAACTTGTATTTTGAAATAGTAGGATATATAATTATCTCTCAGAAAAAAATATTCAGAATAATAATTCTGTCTAAAAATATGCTAGGAACAATCAGAAATCTTTCAGGTAATAGTGAATTTTCTTATAGTTTTTCACAGTTCTTTTGCTTTCACAACATAGCTTGTTTTGTCCATTGTAGCCATTTCTGATTGGTCACCTTATTTGAAAATAACTTAAATGTCCATCAGAAGGAGAATATTTGAATAAATTGTGGCTTACCTCTACCACAGTGTATTCTACAGCAGTTTTTTTCAAAAATAATTTTTTGTTTTTAGATATATTTGTGATTAGTTGATAAATGCAGAAAGGAGGGTTTCAGAGTAGTGACCCAAGCTTTGTAAAAGCAACCAACCACAACAGAAGTTCTGTGTGTGTGCATATTAGGGAGAAACTTGTATTCGAGTTTTCATAAAGAAAGAATTCAACTTTACTTGAAAGAAAACAGAGTCTGGGAAGAATCATTCCTGTTTCCATCCACCCTTCATTCACAAGAGGAGATGGCAATAAGCATTCACTACTCAAACATGCATTCTTTTAGTAACTTTTTAAAAAATTAAATACTAAGAATATAAATAAAAATAAAAACTATTTTCCTTGTGAAAGAAAATATAATCGTTTTTATCATAATTACTCTTTCTAATTTAACCTTGTTTTTAATTTTCTAGGCAGTGTACATTCATTTTCAAATGGGCGAGCTGGTTATAGCCATCAACATCAGCATCGACATAGTGGACACGAAAGAGAAGAAGAAAGAGGAGATGTATGTTTATGATTTGATTAGAAATTATAAAATAGCAACTTTCAGCTCAGGAAAAGCAATTAGAGTTGTCTGAAAATGAGCGAGTTTTTTAAAAAGGGAGTAATAAGTTTTCTCTTACCAGAGTTGTTCAATAGAGACTCGAATATCTCTTAGAGATATTAGGGGAGCAGGAGTGTGGTTAGGCAATGTGACACCTATACATTTGGCATTCTATGATTCTAATGGAGATAACCTGCAGTGTGCATATTTTGAAGGTTACTTCTTATGGTTAGTCCTAAAGAATTTAGAATTTATACTGAAAAACTTAAATTGGATGTAATTTTCCTTGTTCTAATGCTGTTATATCTAATTGCATACAGCAATTAAATCACATGAAGTAAAAAGGTAAGTAGAAAGAGCACTAAACTAGCAATTAAAAGGCCTGGGTCCCCACTCTGCCGCTCATCAGCTTCTGTGTTCTACCCACAAATCCAAAGTAAGCAGCCTGCTGCATATTGATAGTCTCTGTGTGTGAGAAGAGAAAGAAAGAACTTCTCATCTGTGAAATAAGATCAGGTTGTATCAGTGTTTTCCAAATCAGGGTCACTAGGTGAAACACCTGGAAAGTTGTATTTTTAAGAATCACCTCAGGAAGTTATGTTAGGCAGATTTGAAAGCACTGAACCAGACCATCTCAAATGTCCTTTCTGCCTCTAAAAATGCATGACAACTCTTGGATTATTGACTACTGCAGTTATATTACAATTTGTTTTTCTTTGATGATTTTTTTATAGGGAGGTTTTTCTGTGTTCATTCAGCTGATGCCCATTATTGTGTTGATCCTTGTGTCATTACTAAGCCAGTTGATGGTCTCTAATCCTCCTTATTCCTTATACCCCAGATCGTAAGTAGCTAAGTGAAGTTTTACAAAAAAGAATTGTTATTGTTTCTTATCTGGCTTTCTTTAAAAGGTCTTGTGCTTTTTTTTCAATTTTTAAGTGCCAAATCTTCTATTAGTACAAGTATACCAGATTTTTAAATGTCTAATTTTAAAAATAATTACTTAAGTGATAAATTTATATTATGTTGTTAGTTTACATCTGTTCTATTGTGAATAAAGACAGAAATGCTATATATGAACTTCATAGCAATTTAATGTAATAAATAATATGTTGGCATTAAAGACAAAAATACTTTTATTTATTTTTAAATATTTTTATTTATTGATTTTAGAGACAGAGGAAGGGAGAGAGAGAGAGAGATGGAAACATCAATGAGAGAGAACATCGATTGGCCGCCTTCTGCACGCCTCCACTGGGGATTGAGCCCACAACCTGGGCATGTGCCCTGACTGGGAATCGAACCCGTGACCTGTTGGTGCATGGGTCAACACTCAACCACTAAGCCACACCGGCTGGGCAATGCAAAAATATTTTAAAAGACAAAAATAGAATAGTCATTAATCTTGCATAGTTTTGTGTTATTAAGGAGGAAATAACTTCACTCTTCAGTTTGCTAAATATTGATTAAATAAAAAACAAGTATTTGTTATATGAAGTATTTTTCCAGAATGTACTTTATATGTACGAGGTCAGTACATAAAAGAAATTTAATGCAGCATCTATGCTAGAAAACTTTAGTGTAATACAAGGAATATATAGGAAACTGTAAAATCATACTGTCAATGATTTTACAGTATTAAGAACATTCATCTAAAAATAAGAAATAACTTTATATTTCTTCCAAATAAGATTTTTTTTTTTTTTTTTTTTTTATCTTTATTTGTTTATTTATTTATTTTTATCCTTACCCGAGGACACTTTTTGATATTTTGCTCAGATAGAGTGGGAGGGAGAGAGAGAGAGAGATAGAGAAACATCGATGTGAAAGGGACACATTGAGTGGCTGCCACTCACACGACCCAAACAGGGCCGGGGCCAAACTGCAACCGAGGTACGTGCCCTTAGTGGGAACCGAACCCGGGTCTCTCCAGACCGCAGGCCAACGCTCCAACCACTGAGCCAAACCGGCCAGGGCCCAAATAAGATTTTTATTAACTAAAAATTAAGAGAACTTTTAAGAACATAGTATATTAAAATATGCTTGCTTTTTTATAACATGAATGTAGTGGTTGGCAATTTGAGATAATAGTAAATAAATGGTTACCAATAATAGCTTTTTAATTATTTAAAGTTATTTTTGTTAGCTTCTTTTATAGTAGCAGATCAGAATGTACAATTTTAATTCAAAATAATGATCAAGTATTTCTTTTACAGTGGATCGGGGCATACTATTAAAATGCAGACAGAAAACTTGGGTGTCATTTATTATGTCAACAAGGACTTCAAAAATGAATATAAAGGAATGTTATTACAAAAGGTAGAAAAGAGTGTGGAAGAAGATTATGTGACTAATATTCGAGATAATTGCTGGAGAGAGAGACAACAGAGTAAGTTTATCAAATGTTTAACATTTAAAAACGTATTCAAAGTCTTGGGAATTGATTACTTCAGATTTCCCTACTCAAGGAATGTTCTAGAATTGTCTAGCTCATAATCGGAGCTCAATACTTAAATGAGACAATATGTTTTAATGTACATGTGGCCTGTGACAGTATTTGGCACATAGCAAGGGCTTAAATGGTATTTGTGTATTGTTGTCATCAATAAATATTTGGTTGAATAAATGAATAATATCATCATTGGGACAATTGTTTAAATTTGAATATGGATAACATACAGTCAAACCTTGGTTCTCGAACGTCTCCCATCACAAATAATTTGGTTCTCCACCAATTTGTGGAGTAAAACTTCGGTTTTCGACCTGACAACCCTTTCAAACTGATACCTCAGCATGACAAAAGGTGTCTCTCAGGCAACAAAGGAGAGAATGTTTTGTGCTGGTGACAGCGAGGATTAGCACAATTTTAAAACATAAAGAGCCATGAAGAGTGCTAATGTTGCTAAAGGTGTAAAAGAAACTGATCACAGGCAATTGAAGAGGTAGAAAAACTGTTGTTGATTTGGATAAACGAAAAGCAGTTAGCAGGTGACAGCATTTCAGAGGCAGTGATATGTGAAAAAGCAAAGTGATTCATTTAAGCCCTGGCCAGTTTGGCTCAGCGGTTGGACCTTTGGCCTGCGGACCAGAAAGTCCTGGGTTTAGTTCCCGCTAGGTACACGTAGCAAAAAAAAAGTGATTCATTTAAGGCTGGTAGGGGGTGGTTCAATAAATTTAAGAACAGAAGCATTTGGTTATAGATTAAACAGTACCTTAGACATGTACTGTATATAAGAAAGGTTAAAACAGGGAATCGTTTGTGGATTTAGAGCAGATTAATTTCAATTTACATTATTTCTAATGGGAAAAAAAGATTCCGTTTTCAAACAAATCGCTTCTTGGACAGCCTTCCAGAACAAATTAAATCTGAGAACTGAGGTTCCACTGTATTGGATAATACATTTATCATATCATTTTAAATTTCTGAATGTGAAAATTGTATTGTGGTTATACAAGAAAATGCAGTTGTTCTTAAGAAAAACATGCTAAAGTAATTAGGAATGAAAGTTCATAATGACTATAACTTGTTCTCAAATGGTTCTGCAAAGTAATAATAACCGCCACAACAATAACAACAGCCTTTATTGTAGAGACAGTTAAAGCAAATTTGACAAAATGTGAGGAATCAATCAATGTAAAGGGTAGTAGGGTGTTCATTGTAGTGCACTTAACTTTTGTGTAGGTTTGCAATTTTCAAAATAAAATTAAACAAATTCAGCACATCTGTATGTCAGTGGTTTTGAATGAAGATGGAAGTGGGAGGGGCTCAGTATAACAATCCATTGACTGTTTGACTTGTTAAGTAAAATGCTATTATCTTATTTTGAAAATTAATACCATCAAAATATTATTGGCCAATATATATTCTTTTGCCAGAGTTTTTCTGTTTTGTAGTCACTTCTAACACTCTCTGATGTCTAGATGGTAAAATAGGTGTTTTATAAAATACAAGTAATAATTTGAGGCAATGGAAAGAATATTAGACAAGAGTGGGAGATTTGAATTGGAATCTAGATTCTGCCATGCACTAGCCCTGTGAACTTTGATTTATCTGCCTCATTTGGGAAGAATCAGTGCAAGTGGATTTTTTAAATGCCTCATTTGTAAATAAAAGGGGTGGAGTGATTTAGATTTAGTTGTTAAATCCAAGCCTGATTGAATAAAGATTATTTCTGAAGATATTTAAAAATAGAAAACACTCCTACCTTTGAGTATATTGTTTGTGGTCCTAGCTGATGCCCTCTACTTTGGTCACTTTTTTCCAGAAAGTAACCAGTGTTTTTACTTTTTTTGTTGCGTCTTCTCTAAGTACTGCCCACCCTTTAGAAGTGTTAACAAACAGTGAAACGGCTGAGAATAATAGGAAAATAATAAGGAAAGCTTCCTCTAAGAATGTTTGCTATTTAGTTCATTTATTTTTCTTTAGTAATGCATTCCACATACTGAAGGCAGCCTCTGAAGTACTGATTTGCTGACTATCACTACTGTGATTGTAGAGGAAGCCTTTTTTCTCATCTCTGTTTCTTCTGTAAGGTGTGTGTGTGTGTGTGTGTGATTTTTTTTTTTTTTTAATTCAAGTAAACTCAGAACAGGATTCAAAATTTTCTACTTCTAAGTCTTAGAAATAAATAATGTGAAACTTTAACAAAAAGTCACAGCAAAAACAACCAGTAGCAGTATAGCATATGATACCTTCCGGATAAGGAGTCAAGATGGTGCTTTGGAGCAATAGTTCTTAAACCACGGGGGACAGGAGTGGGGGGAAAGGTTGCCAGGACTCTATCCTTGTTTCTTTTCCAGAGCAGCTCTGGGTTTGTTTTACATGCTGGGTTTCCAAGTGGCTTTTAGGAGTAGCACTTGGATTTCTTTCTTTAACAACAACAACAAAAAATCAATTAACAGAAGTATTTTGAAGGGTTTCTATGAAACATCATTTGTGTTAAAACAACTTGGTGATCTAAAGTATTATTTACTTAGCAAAATATTTTTGTTTGTTCACAGAAATAGATATGCAGTATGCAGCAAAAGTGTACCGTGATGATCGACTTCGAAGGAAGGCAGATGCCTTGAGCATGGACAACTGTAAAGAATTGGAGCGGTTGACCAGTATTTATAAAGGAGGATGAACTGGAATTTTATTTATACCTTTTACTATACTATTTATTTTTTCTGTGAGTTTAGTTTCATCATGAGAGCTAACGAAAAAGATTTGTTGTTAAAAACTAAACTGAATAGTTGGTCCTTGAAATCTTGGACTGTTTATGACCTACTGACTCCTTTAAATAGTAAGAAACTAACAACTAAAATTAATATTTTAGTTACGCTTCTGTAATTATTTTCACTTTAAAAGCTTATATGATTACTAACTAAAAATGTCTCAAGAAAAGATTATCACACCTGTAGCAGTTTCCAGTTTTAGTGATTCGCCATTTTTCCCTTGTTATGTAAATATTTATGGAATGATCATTTTGTGTACATACAGGTTGTTGCCTTTTTATTTAAATTCTTTTAGTGTTTAGCTCCATGAGACACTTCAGTTTAAATTGATGGAATAAATGTTCTGTGACAAAAGTACATGTTCCTTGTCAGATATCGAATGTGTAGAGTTTAAACACTGAAACTTTTTCAGAAAGAAAAAAACAAAAGCTGTTTAACTTTGTGTAAAACCTTGTAGCATTATTAGCTATTTTAATATTGCCATTGTATTCCAAAATATATATTGAGATAAATGAACTGGTATAGAATATCAATTTGCTATTTATTTAGTTTTATGAATTGATAAGCCATGCATAGAAATGAAATGCTATACTGATAGATTTTAAAGAAAATGGCTATATAGATATTAAACAAAAAGGGTCTTCAACAGTAAATTGTAGTTATGTCATTTGCAATTTCAGTTATTAAAATGCCCCCAAATGTTCATATACAGGGAAGGGCAAAAGTAGGTTTACAGTTTTAATACAATAACTAATTAATAATAATACAAGAATAAACTGTTTCATATACTCACAACAGTAAACCTACTTTTGCCAACCCTTGTACATGTCTTTGAAGGCTGCTAAAATTTATGAAAAGGAGAACCTACCTGTTCCCTCCACCCCGTGGAAATTTTCAGTTTCTTCTTAGTGATCATTTAAACAGAATTCAAAAGTAAATGGATTCTTCCATAGATAAAAGGAAAAATTAATACTTTGCTTTGTGCCTTTTACCCTGATTGCCAACTCTTAAACATATAAGTAGATTACAGCACATTTGTGTGATCAGGGCATGATCTGTTTGGCCACATGCAACAGTGAGCAGAAATACAACGGCAGGTAGAATAGTGATTTATAGCAAGTTATCCGTATAAAATTCTGAGCTAAAATCTATTCACCATTGAGTAATTCAATTAATCCTCTAGGAATAAGCACCTTGTAGTTAAATCCATAATATAAATTTGAAAAATAAAATGGAAATTGAAGTTTTTAGTGCCTAAATTGGGTATGGAACTAGTTGATTTCTAATCTTCTGTGTTTAACATGATACTATTTTAATAATTTTGCTTCATGCTCAGTTAATGGAACATGAACACATCTTCAGTAGTTTTTTGTGTCTGTGTGAGAGAATGCTAGTTAAAATGGCAGTATTCCTTTGTTTAAAGATTTTTTTTCTGAAAGTAGTCAATTTGTAGCATCTGTTGAAACTGATTACCATTCTTTTAAAAATGTTCTCTTCTTTTCTATCTATCCCCTTTCCAGATGAATCAATAGAAATGCCTGATTGAATTAGTAAGTTAAACTAAACAACATATTGTCTTAGGAAAACTGGACAGCTTAAACAACTTTCTTTTAGAAATGCCACCTTTAAAAAAATAGCAGTGCTTAAGGAAAATAAAATTTAAAAAATTTTTTGAACCTGTAGAATTAATTTTTTAAAAGAAACACAGCATTCTAATTAACTTTGAAAGTCCATATGCATCAGGAAATTTATAAATGAAAAATTTCATCCATTTATTTTTCCATTTTATTAGGATATTTACACAACTATGTTTGATGGTATGTGAATTGACTCTTATTGACTGATTCTTTGTTCCTTAATCCTGACTTTAAGGAGACAGCTGAAGTTATCAAAATAAGTAAAATTATATATTAAGAAGTCATACATGGCTTTTGGACAGTATTATATTTCAATTGCATTGCTACATTTCATTAAATGTTCGGGGAAATGTCTTTGATAAAATTTTCAAACAACTGTGGAAAATGACTGATTGAGTGCCTGAAATATAAGCTACATATAAAATATGCAACTAAAGATTAAGTCCTTAATGTTACCTCTATCATGGTGTAAAGGCCCAACCAAGTGTGTTAGAATAGACTTTAGCTATCTTAAGATGTAAGATTTTCATATTTTTTGCTACTTAAAAATCCCAACATTTTGTCATCTTAGTTTTACCTACAAGAACTTTGAAATTTCATTTGAAAACTTGTACTGTTCAATTTAATCATTGCCTAAAACCTTCACTCTTTAAGTACTGCTTTACTAGCTTTTCATACTAGTATTTTAGAAGTTTGGCAGCAATTATTTTTATTAATGCTTTACAATTTTAACCCTTTTTATACACATACACAGACATTGTCCTTGTGAGGATTTGGGGGGAAATAAATAACACCTTTTCTTCTACTTTTTTTGATTCCTTAGTTATCAGATAGACAGGTGCTAGTAATTTATAAGTTTCAGGATTTATTTAAAAAATTTTTAAATTATTATTATTGAGTTTTTAGGGAGAGAAAGACAGAAACGTCAATGTGAGAGAGAAACATTGATTGGCTGCCTCCTGCACACCCCCTACTGGGGATCAAGTCTGCAACCTGGGCACGTGCCCTGGCAGGAATTCAAACCAGGACCTCTCAGTCCATGGGACCATGCTCAATCCACTGAGCCACACCGGCCAGGAAATATCTGAATTTATTTTAATGAAATCTGAGAACTTAATTCTCAACAAAGAGAAATTATAAATTATAATCCATCTAATAAGTGAAAATATATTTTGGAAACAGTTGCAATTGAATGCTTAAATAAGTAATTGTTTCATATTCATTACATGCTTATTTATGATTTACAAAGATTTGGTAGAGAAAAGAAAGTCCTAAGGCATATATACGTCAAGGCATTAAGCCACTCTGCTTTTCTGTCAGCTCAGGTATTCACAGGAACAGGAATGTGAAATTCTATCCCTTTGCTTTAATTGCACTTTTATGCTTGTTTTCTTCCTGTTAAGTCTTCAGTTACACTAGTATGTAAAATAGTTACCAAGAAAAATGGTTAACATCTTGATTTCTCTTTGTTGATCTCCACTATTTTAAAATGCAGCTGTTATTTACTACACGTTACATGTTAATATTACTTAATAACACATTCCTGCAATTCATTAAAAATAAATCTTCCGCCTTTGTTAAGGCAGTGAAATCTTTCTTGATGTTGGCCTGAGGACCAAATGAGCCGTTTTTCCAGTTCAGTAGGTATTATGTCAGAGGACTAAATGGTTCAAAAGGAGAATTTGTGTGTTTATTTAGCTTCCCATATGGAGCTAGAATTTAGTACTACCTATATTACTGTTTTCATACTAAGTAAAGCAAATGAAAAGGTCATCTTTTTTCTTATCAGAAGAGAATAACTTCCAAAAATGAACAATAAATCAGAATTTTAATCTTTACTAAATATCTAAAAAGCCTTGTCTATTGGCCACATTGGATGACTGCCTAGTTAAAATCCATAAAATTTTCTATAAACTAGTGAAAAAGAAAATAGTCATCTGAAAATAACTGCCAAATTTTGTTTAATTCTAATCTTTAGTTACAAAGAAAAAGTGGGTAGAATGAGGAGCTTCAAGAATTCTTGCATGTTCCTTTACTAATCAGGCAGGTAGCACATTCCTGGAATTCAGGCTTCCTTTTTGGTTTATTACTATTTAAATAGGTACTTTCCTATAAATGGAAACATTTTCCCTCAAACATTAATTCAAAACATATTCCTTATATTAAGGATTATGTAACCACATTTATTTGTAAATTGCCTGTGTGTAACTTTTTCCTATTGGTACGTGATTATTTAATTTTATTATCTGCTGGTTTTGGGGCCAATAGATTTGTGAATAGTCTGTGGATGTGTCCATGTATAGCTGTATATAATATTTTTTTCCAGCTAATACCTCAAATGTGTGATTATTTTATACCACACTGTTTGCACAGAGCAGGGCTTCCATTAGCAGTGGATATTCTTATATCTAACTTTGAAAATCAGTCCACAGAACTTCATTGGTATGAATTCTTTCTGTTGATATTTTTCATATTTTAAAACAGATTCCTATTGAAAAGCCCATACTTCAAATATAATTGTAGCTTTCTATATCTAGCAATCTGGAAATATGTAGGTGGTAAGAAGTGTTTCTTGAAATGTCTTAGTTTAGTATATTATTGAAAATTGGGATTACTGGTTGCCAAACTGTCTAGTAACTGCATCGTAGGTGACACCTGGTATAGATGTGAACAAGTCTCATTCAGGTCAGCACAGGAATAGGGACATTCCAATCTGATATCCTACTTTGCCATTTGAGAAGACCACAAAAATGATAGGGGTTTTCAGTGGCATTGGAGTATTTTACGCATCAATTCAAGATGAATTGTTTGGGGCTGGAAAACTATGCCAATGAGAAGAAAGAAATTCACACATGTATTTTATAATTTATTTGTATTAAGAAATGCTTCTTACCTAATTTTGTTTTGTTTTTTGGATTGCTACATAAGACTTTCTTTCCATTTCAATTTAAGTCATGTGTTTTTAAAAGCTGCAGGTAGTTTTCCAGGTGTGATGGAATTTTAATGGAAGCCTTGTATCAGTTAAATGAAGTGAAACTGGTAAAGGAAATCTTAACTTTATTTGTCTATAGTGCACTCAAGATTATACAATTAGATTTAAAAATGAAATGTCTGATTTGTAAAATATTTAATGTTATATCAGACTTATATAAAATAAAATTTTCTGCGTGAGAACTCTATTAAAGAAAATTTTATTTTTAATGAATGTTCTGCTGAATGATTTATGATTTTTTTCTTTCAGTCTCTGCAGTTTATCTCAATATATGAATAAAAAGGTCTGTTCTCACCCTAAAATTTGTTTCTATCATGTTTTAATTCTCAATACGCCCTTTCTTTCTTTCTTTCTTTCTTTCTTTCTTTCTTTCTTTCTTTCTTCCTTCCTTCCTTCCTTCCTTCCTTCCTTCCTTCCTTCCTTCCTTCCTTCCTTCCTTCCTTCTTCCTTCCTTCCTTTCTTCTTTCTTTCCTTTCTTTCTTTCTTTCTTTCTTTCTTTCTTTCTTTCTTTCTTTCTTTCTTTCTTTCTTTCTTTCTTTCTTTCTTTCTTTCTTTCTACCATTCAATAAATGTATGAGTGCCTGCCACCCATTCATACATGTGCTAGCAGGGAGCTGAGTGCTGGGAAATAATCAGTGAACAGGACAGAAACCCATAAGGTTCATTATCTAACAAGGAAGATAAATGTCAAGTAAATAACTAGCTATAATTATGATGCAAGCCACAAAGAAAATTACAGGGTACAGTGAAAACATGTATCTAGAAGACATAACCTACTTTGGGAGGAGCAAGAAAGATTTCTCTTACAAAGTGAGCTGAAGCTGAAACCCAAAAGATGAGAGTAGGAGCGAGGCGAATGCTAGAGAAATGTTTCGGGCAGAGTGTGTTAAGCTGGTATGGTCATAGAAACTTTTCAGCAGTGAAAGCAAACTTGTATTAGTATGGCATAAGGAAACCAGGGTAAGTTAGAGCATTAAAATAAGATATGAGCCAGATTCCATGAGAGCATATATAAACCCTAGTGATGATCATTGGACTGTAACCTAAGGCAGAAAACCTTTGTGATTTTTAAGGAGGGAGTCATATGATGAGACTTGAGTTTTTAAAGTATCATTTTAGTTGCTGTGTGAAGACTGGAGGGCAAAAGTGAACGTAGGAAGGATAGGAGATTGTCAAAGGAGAGATGATGGCTTAGACCAGAATAAGGATATAGATAAGGAAATGATTTTGAGAGAGATTAAGGAGGTAGAACCAAGAGAATTATTTGATTGATTGGATTTGAGATAAATGGAGGCAGCAATTAACTTCAAAAATTTGATTATAAAGAGACTAGAGCAAAAGGGTGGAGAGAATTTGGTTTCTAAAGAAGGCTTTTATGTTTTTCAATTATTTACTACATGAGAGAACTTACTATTTTTTTATTCTGATATAAAGGGGCAAGTAGAAAGTGAAAGAGTCAAGATAGAGATGGGATAATAGCCTTAAGTAAGTACCCGGTATGTCCAGAGGATATAGAATCCATTGCAAAGATGGAAGAATTACTTTAGCAAAGAGACACCACCACAGTCTTTCAGAAGGGAATGCACAGAGGAGGGGTACAAATACAAGTGCATGTATAGCATTGGTGGGATAGTATTATGGCTGCATTTTCTTGATGAAATGGGCAATTAAAGTGGGGGAGGAGGAAGAATGGTAGGAAAAAAAGGATTAGAAAGAATGAAAACAGTTTGGAGAAATCATTTTCACTGAGTCAGAAGACTAGCAAATAAGTGGGATTTCTGTGGGTCCCAGGTTGGTGACAGAATTTACAATCTGTGATATTTTCTCCAGCATAACCCAGCAGCCTAGTTATAGACTTAGAGAATACTACTCATTTACTAATTCAAATTGTGGGTTCCGTCAGGCACTAAAGATGGCAGGGGAGTTTGTGTTGGCATGTGAGTGAGTGCCCTGATTGAATATTGGATGTATGCTAGAAATCGGGGGAATGAGTGAGTTCTGTGGTGACTGCATAAATCCTGGGTGTGACGGCAGTAGATGGTAGTTTGGTTGAGAAGGTTATTGCCTATGACCTTACTTTATTCTCAATGGGCCAAATCCCAAACAAAATTAGTAAGACAACCAACTTTGACAATCTAAGTGATAAAATTTTCATTTTTGTATTTTGGAGAATCAGCAAGACTCTTCTCCCCATATGAGTTTGAATACCAACTAGAATTTTCACATAACAAAATCCATATGATTGTTGATTTTCTGATAGGAAAGAAGAATTTTAAAAAGTAGAGGTCTCTGCGATATACAACTGAAAGAGAAGTTTAAGCTAAAGAGAAGCAGAAACAAAGGCTCTGATATAACCAATAAAGTTTGAACTGCAACAATGTGTATGTTTATTAACTATATACTAACATGTTGTGTACATAATAAAATAGAAAATTTGGATGACGAGATAAAATGTTATGTGAGTATATGTACAATTTCCATTAGTGTCTTCCTGAACGTCAGGAATCATCTGTTCCCACCCCACTTAGGAGAACTGCATAGTGCTGATAATCTCTCTTTTTTTTAATTTATTTTTGTTACAGATGTTTCTCCTTTTTCCCCCCCGCAGACACCCTCCTCCCTATCCTGACCCCGCCCCCAACGCCAAGCACTGTTGTCTATGTCCATTGGTTATATATATATGCATATAAGTTCTTTGGTTTATCCCCCGACCCCCCACCTCTCCTCTGAGGTTTGTCAGTCTGAACCATACACTTTTCTGTCTCTGGGTCTGTTTT